GGTACCTTAGGAGTGGGGTACTGGAGAAACAAATAATAAGATGGAGAGATGTTTGTTTGACCTGTCCCTAATGGTAATTTTTCTTCTTCGTCTAGTCAGAGGTCATATAAAGCCACACTACACTAGGTTGTTTTCTGGGAAAAACATGGGAAGTACGAAAATAGAAAGTTTGTAAGCCCACTTGCTTTCAGCCATTGAAATTTGATCTTTAGATGGGTTTAAGCTATGCCTGCAAAGAAAGCTTTGTAAAGATGTGCCCCACCCAGTGCTTGGGAGTACTCAGGAATCAATGGTCTTTGTCAGAAGCTGGAAAAAGTCCGGAACCATGAAGAAAAACTCCTCTCTAGGACTGAATGTTAAAGGGAGCCTGTGAACAAGCTGAAATGCTTGCTAGGTGACCACCTGGATCTACTTGTTGAGTGGAATGGCAGAAATGCAGCAATAAAGAGACAGGTTGAGTTTGGCCCCTGACACCTGTGGACTTGGTTTACAGAGAAAAAAAGGAGAAGATAAGAGCTGGTTGACTGGTCTACAGTTCATGACCTATCACGAGGGGGCTAGGCTTGTTGAGTATTGGTGAGAGCCCATGGTCAAAAGGCAAGGTGACCAATGGGCACCCTGAAGAGGCTGAGTGAGGCAGCCCACATTGAGTTGACCAGAAACCATCCAGATGGAGATTTTTGAGACTGTGAACTGGTGCATATTGTTGCTGATTTTATGGATGGCCTGTCCGGATTTGACTTTGCTTATGGATGCAGACTTCACAAGGTTCCAACTGGAATGAAGACTCCCCATGTCGTAAAATATGACTGTCTTCTCAGAGAACTGGGTTGATGTAAGTGGGCATTATATAAATTGGACACTCAAAACTGGGGGGTGGGGGGTAAAGGCATGAAGTTGTTGGCTTACAAATTTTCATAGGTGGGGGAACATATTCACAGGATTATAGGATTAAGGCATAGGTGTTACTTAATTGCAATTGTGAAGCTAAAGAATTATGTACAGGTGCCAGGTTGGCAAGGGGTGGACTGAGGTAGTTAGTTTATTATGCCAACCGGGATGATAAACACATGTGGGGCTAATTAAAGGGCGGAGGGATAAATAGCTCGATGAGCCTCGCCTTTCTAGTTTTCAGGTCTCTTGCTCTGTGAGGGTCACACCAGGGTGCAGCTGCCTTAGCAGTTCCCTGCTTCAGCTTGCAATGCTGACTTCCTGAAAGACACCCCCCAAGGAGAAACTGCATGGACCTACTCTGATGCAGCCCTGGGTGCTGGAGCACCCATGTGGAGGTCCCTGCCAGAGCGGAGATATTTACACATTCACTGACTCAGCTTTCCTCCTGCAGTTGGTGTCACTGCGTCTGTTTGGTGAGATGGAGGAGGACTTTGTGGATTGGTGTTGGACATAAGGGTAATAATGGGTTAATGTTGGACTTGTCGGCTTGGACAGCACTGGGTTGCGATGTTTTTTTGATGCACACTTAACCTTTATATAAAACTCTCTCTTAAACATATAATAAGTTTCTGTGGGTTTGTTTCTCTAAAGTACCCAGGCTAACACACTTCCTAACTATGTAACAAAAGAAAACCGACTTAGGGAAATGTACTCAGTTCCCCTTTGGGGTTAGGCAGATCTTTCACGAGAATGTGCTAGCACACCAAATGGGGGACAGGCTTTGGGGGTTCCCAAGGGAGGGAGGGCAAGGGTGAGAAGGTGGAGCAACTGTCTAGAAGCTCAACAGGCATTGATTTGGGTGAAAGGGAGGATGGAGGTCCAGAAGGAGAGGAGATATTAGGGGAGCAGGTGGAAGTGAATGGGTGGGGGCAGGGAGTTGATGAGTAGCTTGAACTGTTGAATGCAGAGTTGATGGTCTGAAATCCCCCCTCCCCAACCTAATTCACAATAAAAAAATCATTTCAAAAAAAAGAAAATATATTAGTTGATAACAATTTGCCTTTCATGGCTAATGAGTACTTGTTACAAAATGAGAAAGTTTAGGAGACTAAATTCTAAAGCCGTTATATTGTATCGTCATAGACGTATTCAAACTGCAGGCTTCAATATTAGATTGTAGCAGTGAGAATGTTTAATATAAAAAAGGTTGTCAAACTCTTCTCTTTCTGAAATAACAGAAAACCCTCTTCTACCTGAACTAATTCAGGATACTCATAGACATGCAGACTTGTTTAGTACCATGAGGATTTAGTTCCAAATAATCAACTACTCTAAAGTAACTTACTTACCAAAAATATATCTTTACAAGTGACCTAGTTTAGCACTTTTGGTGCTGAAAAACAAAGGGTACACTGTTCATTTCATCACAGAGCCGTGCTTTTGAACAAGACCCAACCCAATTCACTTCTAGAGAGTTGATTCTGCCTCATGGCCTCCCTGTAGGGCAGAGTACAACAGCTCCCAAGGGTCCCTGGCGGCAAGGTGGGGTATGCCTTGGTTTGCTAAAGGCAAAGTCAGCAGTTCAAAACTACCAGCTGCTCAGAGGGAGAAAAACAAGGCTTTCTGCTCCTGTGAAGAGTTAACAGTCTTGGAAACCTGCAGAGGCCGTTCTACTTTGTCTTCTAGGGTCACTATGAGTTGAAGTCAACTTGACGCCAGTGAGTTTTCTTTGAGATATCTTTATGTGAACAGAAAGCCTCATGTCTCTCCCACAGAGTAGCTGGTGCGCTTGAACTGCTGATCTTGTGGTTAGAAGCCCAACACTTGAACTACTAGGCCATCAGGGCTCCTTTTATTACTGAACAGAATCATCTAAAACCCAAAAGACGCTTTAGGTATCTGTTCGCAATTGATTTACAAGTATGCAATCTTTTATGGAATAAAATACTTAAACTAAAAAAAATTAAGACTCATTAAAAAACAAAACTCACTGAAATATATGTCTCTCCTTTAAGGCTAATTATTTTCAGTGGATTCATTTTTATAGACTACAATTCCATAAAATTAAATTCTGCACAAATACCAAAAATAAACTTTTGTTTATTCAACAGTTTATATTGCACAGTAATTAAGATAGAATGGAAAATTGCTCAAAAGGATGCAACTAAAATGTTTTTAATTTCAAAATGTGTTTACTATAAAACAAGTTTCAAAGATAAACTGAAAAAGTAGTAATTTTTTTCTAAAAATTGGGGGACATGCCAATGATAAAGAAGGAAGTTTGAAGGCCAGTCTGAATTGAAAGGCATGGCAAGTATAAAATTATACAAAGCAGATTTTGAAGGCTTACTATGAAATAAGTCAAATATCTCAGTAATAATTGTACACTGATTGCATTTTGAAATGGTATTATGAGACTTCAAAAAGACTGTGGGAAAAGTTCCATTATCTTTACATTCTATTTTTCCATGGACTTCTTGAAACCCCCTTGTGTTTTGGATGAAGGAGCAAGTGAGTGGCTAGTGTGATAGGTTTGGTGTCAACTGAGGTACATGGTAACAAAGAAGGCACTCTGGGCTTTGTAAAAAACATCAACATAATTTCATCTGCTTTCTTTTTTACTTATTTAACGTGGCTACCAGAATTTTTTAATTCTCTGAGGCTTACTCTGTATTTCTAGAGGACAGCACAGCCTTAGAAACGTAAAGCGGAAGGATTTTGGAAAGAACAAAACGAAGGGCTGGCTTTAGTTATAAGAATTCTACATGGGTTAGCACGTGTCCTTGGTCATGCTGCACACACTCTGGGTACACAAGTACAAACCATCTATTCCTGCTGCCTGGGTGTCGTGGACGTCAGCCTGTACTTTGGAAGTCACGCTAATTCTTCTGGCTTTTCTCTCAATGGTGCAAGGGTCTGAGGAATCTGCATAAGAAGCAGTAAAGAGGGTTCACATTATAAATTAGCAAGAAGCTATCTCCTAACCCCCACCAAAAACGTGTCACCACACCCCCTGCTGTCAAGTTCATCCCAATTCATAGCAGTCCATGCAGCTGAGTTCATCTTTCTATGACTTCCTGCTACACTTGAGTTCTAAGAAGGCCAGGTCCATATTCATTACTGCTCTCACACCTATACAGAACAGTAAGCAGTGGCTCGTAGCACTCTTTTGATCCTCTCCAATCACTCAGAACAAATGGCCTATTTCGGCAATTTCCTCCTTTTTAATGGGTCCGGGGTAAAACTCAGTGACAGCAATTGCATGTCAATGTGGAAGTAACATTTGGAGAACATGCTTTAGCTGTTCTCTGAGTAAATAGTTATTGGAAAATTATAGGTTGAAAATACACCAAGGCTAACCTTAATGTCCATTGCAATAAAATTGGTGAAATTAAACTGCAGCATTTCATAATTAAAATGCATGACTACATACTCTCCCCATTCATCTCAGGAATTCTAATTACCTATATGTGCAAGCCCAGAACCTCCTTGGAAACACTGACAAGAACTGAAGGCATCCTGATTTCTTGGTAGAATTATGGGTTGTGTTAATTTATAGGCTATGAGTAAGCAGCCCCTGGTTTTAAGCAATAAAGAAAACAGGAGTTCATATTATTTGCTCTTAGGAACCAAAGACAAGTCTTACAGTTTCAAATCAGTGACGAGCCCATCAGTAATCCTCTACTACAAGGTTGTTGCTGGATGCTGTTGAGTCGATTTGGGCTTACACACACTATACTGCTTAATTACAAAGCTCATCTCCCCAAAAATCTGTCTTCTGTTTTTCTGATTTCATGATCACACTTCTTACCTACATAAACATCTATCGTTCATGTGGATTTCCAGCATACATCTGTAATAACTACAAGGCATTTACTTTGGCCAATGAAACAATTCTACTGGTTACTTGCATGTCACTGTTTTTTGCTTGCTTTTTAATTAAGTGGGATTGTAAGCCAAACTGTATTAAACTAGACATATTTTTATAAATGGCCAATTTAGCGTAAATAGAGCAACAAACAACAAAAAAACTAGAATTTGCAAAGTACTTAAAAGAAAATAAATTTGACTTCAAATCTATAATGGAAAAGGCTTACCAAAGTATTTCAGAATATAATCAAGTTGTACTGTTTATAAGTTTTACTAGAAAATGTGAGTGGTTTAAAAAGCTATTTATTATGTAACAGTACCATTTTACATTTTCACCAACAATATGGATTATATCATTAAAGCTCAATTAAATGTCTATACTAGAAATTCATTTATCATAAACATGGCACATTTTAGATGGCTTTCTCTTCTGGTTTGTATTAAAACTCTTTGTATACATGGGGAGTTCAAACTAAGGAGCCCTCGCAACAAAACCTAAAGGTTTGCACTTCAAACCCACCCACTGACTTTTCAGAAGCAAAATCTAGCAAGTTACTCCCTTAAGAATTACAACTTAAAAAGCCCTACGGGGGGGAGGTTCTGCTCTGTCAGTTACTATGATTCAAAATGGACTTGACATGGCCACAAATGCAGAAATGTTCTTGGCACAACAGATGGATGTATGGATTGTGATACAAGTTGTATGAGCCCCCAATAAAATTATTTTAAAAAGGACTTGACAGTACCTAAGAATGACAACAACAATTGAATATTAATAGCTTGGGGTGGGAATTATGCCTTACACCTTTGTAGTGCTTAGCAGCTCTCTACCCGATATAATCACCTATGTAATCAACCTACCTATATATTTGATACGTATTTAAGAAATTCATCAGCACTGGAATCAGCATTGGAGTTACAACAAACTCCAAGAGATTGCCCAACATCAGTTTTAGCAAATATTTTTTGAACTAAATGAGCCATGAAAAAAATCTTTCTAGTGTAACTGTACTTATAGGAAGTTAAAGCTTCACACTGAGACCATAATACAGAATATTAATAGAAACCTTAAACAATTTCCAAGCTGAGGAGTATACCAATCTACAATCTCCCCACCTCAAATACATGGTGTTGACCCTAAAGACAGAAGGCAGAATGCATTAGCACCACTCACATCGTCACTCCTAAGAAATCACACATCTGAGTATATGGGTTCCTGGCAGATGCATCACATTACTTGAAGAAATTTTCTTTTTCTTTTTTTTTTTAATATTTAAGGTCAAATTTACATAATGAAATGGAAAAACCTTAAGTGCCATTTGATGAGTTTGGACACGTCTGTCTACACATCTGGATAATCCAAATCCTTATCAAGACTTAGACTATTGCCATCAGCCCAGAAAGTCCTTGAATGCCCTAATTTCACTTTCATCTGCTCAGTTCACACGTGCCTGCCAAAATCATGGATTGGCCCTAAGGACCATCTGTACTCTGCCTTCATCGTAACTCTCAAAGCATATGGACCAACATTCTACCCATCAGCGTAGACCACCTTTTTGCCCTGCCTGGGTCACCCTCTCCCAATGCCTTTCTGCAGAAATTTTACTGAACCTTCAAAATCTAGATTAAATGCCCCAGATCTTCCATAAACCTCACCTGGTCCTCTCAAAAGGAAGTGGTCCCTAAATTTCTCCCAAAGCATGTATAGTAGTTGAAATAAAGGAAAAATCAGCACAGGGTAAGCAAAGTATGAAATCTATCTCTGCCACTGTTAACCAGTGTTACCTTTAGAAAGTTACTTACAATCTCTCTGAAATTTACACTTGCAGGTGAAAAAGGCTTAAATGAGACCATTCTCAAAGGGCCTAACAGAGCCCAAGAGAAAATAAGGGATCCAACAATACAGTCTCCTTTCTTCTTACCTAGCAGCTTAACATCAAAAGTATTTCTTTGTAACAGCATAAGGCTTGGTTTCATTACATGACCTAATATGTTTTTTGAAGAATTAGTGATAAACATACTGAGGCCAGAGAAAGAGAGAAACATATCATTTAAAACAGTGGTTACATAAGGAGAAAAATTAAAGAACAAGAAATTCTTGTCTTCATATCTTTATTAAAGGGGCCAAGTTCTACCCAAATATTTACAACTTGGTAGTGAGTTAGTGAACTAATAAGATTCATTATACAACCTTCCTCTAGTTATTTAATGCTTCCCCCACCCCTTACTATCATGACCTCAATTCTACCTTACAAATCTGACTAGACCAGGACATGTACACTGCTATTGATAAGAGCCCGTAACACTTGGAATCCAGGACAGATAAACCCCTCAAGACCAATAATGAGAATAGAGATAACCAGGAAGGGAAGGGGAAGGTGTTGGGGAGAAAGGGAGAATCAATCACAAGGATCGACATATAACCCCCTCCCAGGGGGACGAGCAACAGAAAAGTGGATGAAGGGAGACAACGGACGAGGCAAGATATGAAAATAATAATTTATAATTTATCAAGGGTTCATGAGGGAGGGAGGGTGGGAAAGGGAGAGAAAAATGAGAAGCTGATGTCAAGGGCTCAAGTAGAAGGAGAATACTTTGACAATGATGATGGCAACATATGTACAAATGTGCTTGACACAGTGGATGAATGTATGGATAAGAGCTGTAAGAGCCCCCAATAAAAGTACTTAATATAAAAAGAATCATTCTAAAATCTAAGTGTACTGACAGCCCATAGATCATGCATCATTCTGTTTTTTCTAAAGGTGACTGTTAAATAATTTCTAAATGCAAAAGACACTTTATACACAGATGTCAATGAAAGGTTTTGCTTTTTAAAATTTTTGGATTGTAAAGCAATTCCTATTCAATTTCTGTTTTTGTAGTCATTGTAACGGTCAAGGAATAATAGAGCAAAAGTATCAAGAAAATTTCTATCTAAGCCTCACTTGTCAACTATCTCATTATTTGACATTTCACATTTACGACTGGAGTAAAAAATCTACTCTCTGCACATTAATGACAGTAACAAATGCCGAGGTGCTAGGTGCAAGGGGAAATGTCAGGTGAGAGTAATACTGGCTGTGATGGTCAAAGTATGTGCTTAGGTCATGAAACTCAGTGGTTTGGCAGTTATGTGATGTTATAAGTTGGCAGTTACAAAAAAAATGTAGTCATCCTTCACTTTGTGACCGGATGTGGTTATCTGCCACTTTCCCATAATGCCAATTTTTGCATAACGACTTAGTAGCTGGGACCTAACCATGCTGTTAAGTGAGGAGTGGATGTTTGAGTCAAACATTTTTCAATAGGCGATGTATAAAAGTTTTACAGAACTGCAGTTTTAGAATTACCCTTAATCAGTGAATATGTTCTGTTGGTATTCATACTCAGTGCAGAATTGCCCCAGTAACTTTCTGAGGCTGTAACTCTTTACGGGAGTAAAAAAATCCCATCTTTCTCCCCTGTTGGTATTATGATAAAACATACTAAAGAGATTATACATGTTGTAAAAAATTAATCCCAATGGATAGGAAAATGAAGAGTTTTTACTATTTCATGTAAATCCATCGATTTAGCATGCTAAGAACTTTAAAACACTTTTCTTGGTAGATTAGAAAATGGAAAATTCATTTTCTCCGAGCTCCATTCTCTTGCTTTGATTCTAAAACAAAAACTAGTTGCTATCGAGTAGATTCTAATTCATGGCAATCCCAGTTGAGTCAGAGTAGAACTGTACGCCTGAGGATCTTTTTTCTTTTTTAAATAACATATCTGCTGTTGTAAGAATATAAACAGCAACACATACACCAATTCAACCATTTCCACATGTACAATTCTGAGACACTGAATATAGTCTCTCAGTTGCATTACCACTCTCTTCCTCCTTTTCTGAGTTGTTCCTCCTCCATCAATATAAACTCACTGGCCCCTAAGTTCCTATCTAATCTTTTGAGATGCTATTATCAACTTGATGCCATGTAAATAGGTCTTGTAAAAGAACAAGGTTCACCACAAATATTCATTAATAGTTAAGCAAAATTGTTGTTTGCTTTTAAGGGGACTTCAGAGATAATTTTGGTTTAAGGTTTCCATAGGGTTTTCAATGGCTGGTCTTTTGGAAGTATATCACCAGGCATTTCTTCTGAGGGTCGTCTGAGCAAACTTGAGCCTCCAACCTATGACACTAACTGTTCACGCAGCATCTGAATGCCTTAGGTATTGCCTCATAAACATGAGAAGGGAAACAACCTAACACATTGTCTTTTAGAATTCCACAGGGCCATAATAGTAATTAAGCTATGTTGGAAGAACTAAAATTATACTTAATGGTCAAAATGGTACTGTCTTAAATATTGCTATTAACCTTGCTAACTGACATCTGTAGCGTAAAAAAAAAAAAGAAAACTTGATGTGTGACAATTCCTTCTAAAAGTTGGTTAGTTACAATTGAAGAGAAGTCAGTAAGTTACACAACTTGGCTAACAGAGCAAAAGCTCTACTTTGGAACCAAAAGTGTTTACAATATAGGTTTTTCACAGGAATATAATCAACACACATATAGTCTGACAAAGTAATGGAAATTAACTACTCCAGTTTTTTAAATCCACAGCAATAACATTAATTAAAACATCATGGATTCCCCCTCCCTCATGCATTTGTGAGATCTTTAAAAACTTTTTATTTTCATTTGGTGCTTGGATATAGTGACTCAAAATTGTGCCTAAAGAATTAGACAACAACAACAAACTCATCAGCTTACTTTAAGCACTAGAATCCAGAATCCAATTCCTTGCCCATTAAAGGTATACCATACATTACAATACCTAAGAGTTATAATGTAGGTAATAATTCTTTAAAAAGGATGACCGAACAGACACAACTGGCCTACCCTAGAGATAAGAGGTAATAAATTTTTTTTTTACTCAACATCTAATATTTGTGTTGACAGGAAGCAACAAGGTCAGGTATGCGATAAACCCTGCAAATTACTCCTAGGAACTGGTGGAGCCACAATGCCAGATCTGTATTCAATGACGCAGGAAACAAGTATCCAAATACCTCCTGTAACAGAGGCACGATAAGCTGTCCAATGCCTGGACCTCCTGAAGAGCATCACTTACAGAGTTATCCTTTTAACACATTGTCACCAGGATTTCACTGCCATTTTTTACTACTTTGAAGGTCACAGCAACTTTCTTCTGAGTAAGTATCTTCTCAAGCTTCTTACATGGTAACATTGATCACCACTCATCCTAAAGACTTTTTCTTCTTTTTGGCGAAATGAATGCTGCCCTTCCCCATCTGTGCTATACTACAATGAGTACTAGCATACATGTATGAGAGCAACCTTTTACCCTCAGGTCCTTTCATCTACAAATTAAGAGTGAAATTTACCTAGCGTGGGTGCTATGAGAATTGAGAAAAAATTATGGGAACAAATTTAGCATATTAGACACAAGGAGTTGGATTTTTCCATGAACTTGGTGAAGCCTCCTTGTACATAGGAAAACGATTATAGGTTCCTCCTAGAGTGGTGGTTCACAGCCTGTGGGTCATGAACCTTTTGGGGGTCGAACGACTCTTTCACAGGGGTCAACCGATTCATAGCAGTAGCAAAATGACAGTTATGAAGTAGCGACGAAAATAATTTTATGGTTGAGGGGGGTGTCACCACAACATGAGGAACTGTATTAAAGGGTCACGGCATGAGGAAGATTGAGAACCACTGTCCTAGAGGCTATCAAATGCAAATTAAGAATTATCTTTGAATTGTCCTCTTTCTAGTGTATATATCAGATACACTAGAAAAAGGAAGGCAGAGCGAATAAAGCTCACCAGACCAAGAATAATCAGGGATTAATGCAGTGTAATCAACAGACTCATCACTAGAGACATACAGCTCATCATTTTCTTCCTCAAATACTGCCAGCCATTCTCATCAACTTGGTCCTCTGTTGCTAGGTTAACAAATTTTCAGTGCATTCCCTTAAATAGGGTGAGATCTCCAACCATGGCCCTTAAATCAAATAAAAACCGAAGTTCATCTGTTATATTACCACGAAGTGATGCCTCCTTCATACTCAGGCAAAAATCACATTTAAAGACTCAGTATGAATCCAAAGGGTTAAAGTAATCAATGGTGTATGGCCCAGTGACAGCATGAAACTGCACATAATGCTGCCCCGCCCTGGTGCCAACTCAGGTACTTGGCAGTCAGTCAACTCAGATTCTGCTTTGTTCCATGGTTAGAAATCAGCAGATTATTTTAAATGCAGATCAGGTAAAACTTCAATAGTAGTATTGAACAATAAAGAGAACAAACACAGTGTGTGCTGCAGCCTATAAACCTGTAAATACCTGAAACTCTGTACTGAGCTTGAAAGCCGTTTCTCTCAAATGTAAATAATTTAGGTTTGGGTTGCATTAGGTAGCACTTCTACATTTCCTAACTAAAAATAAGGAAATTTGATAAGATTTTTAAGTGCTACACCCTCAAATGATTTTTTAAAATAACAATGGATTCTTTGTTATTTTCTTGTCTTCATGATCAATCTATCTGGAGTTGCTCAAAAAAGGGGGATTAAAATTTGATATTACAATATAAAAGTCAGCCTTGAGTTATAATTCTAAAAAATTAATAGACTGAGACGGAAATTCATCTAAACTTGGTAACTCAACAGTTAACTTTATTGAAAATATTGTTTTAAGTTACTCAAATGTCAATCAAACTTTTGGTGTAGAGTTAAGGAGAAGAGATTTGATACTTCTCATGTTAGTTCATTTCTAGGAAGTATTTATAAAAAATAATTCCACTAAACCTTGTGTTCATGCACTTTAGTTGGTCCCTGGTGAGAACGAGCTTACCTACCTGTCGTTGAATCAATTCTGACTCATAATGACCCTACAGGACAGAGTAGAACTGCTCCCGTGGGTTTCCAAGACTGTAACTGTTTATGGGAGTAGAGAGTCTCATCTTTCTCCTTGGAGCAGCTGGTGGTGACCTTGTCTTAGCAGCCCCTAGGGCTCTAAAAAAGCACCTCATTCTCATCATATTGTTATGTTCATCTTTTGATTACACCAGGAACCTTTTGTTGCCTGCCAATTAAATAACCTTAGATTTGCAGATCTAACTTTCCATTCTAACATTATGCTTTTAGTATTTTAATTATTTTATGAGAATGAATTTCTAGGATCATAGTTTTTACAGAGCTAAGTGGATTTGTAATGGTAACTACAGAATCTACCATTTCACTTTTGCTTTTTAAATAAACCATATATACCATTTAATTTCAGGAGTTATTAATTCGGTGCTTCTTTCAAAATTGGGCTACCTCTAAAGAGAAAGCAACAGGACTGAAGGTTTCCAGAGGGACTTGGGGGGAGAACATGTAGAAAAGGAGCAGTGAGCAAATAACGCCATAGACATGGGAACAACTAGGGAATTAAAAGCAACAATGAGGAGGACGCAGAGATCCCAGTGGTGTTGGAGTAATAGCAATCTAGCTAAGAGGAATTACTAAGAGGCAGAAGAAGGGCAAGCATGATGTTGTGGCAGGAGGAAGGTAAAAGGAAACAGAGTAGAGATCTAGGAAGCAAAGCTATGGATAGAGGTATAAACATAGGTGTGCACTTATGTAAATATATTAATTCATAAAAATAGAGGTATTGGTCTATGTACCTATATTTATATGGCAATACATTGAGGAAGTGGGCAAACTTTGGGCCTCTGCTCAAGCCCTCCCTCAAATCAAGAACATTTTGCTCTAACAACCTGGCATTCTATAATGCTCACCCTCCCAACATGATCACTGAAGACAAAATTGGGTGCATAAGCAAATGTGGTGAAGAAAGTGGATGGTGCACGCCTATCAAAAGATATAGCGTCTGGAGGTCTTGAAGGCTTGAAGTTAAATAAGTGGCCAGTTAGCGGAGAAGCAAAAAGCCCACATGGAAGAAACACACCAGCCTGTGTGATTATGAGGTGTCGATTGGATCAGGTAACAGGCATCAGAAGACCCAAAACTCATCTGTAAACAATAGGACATCCCCTCACAGAAGGGTCACAAGGAAGGGATGAGTCAACCAGGGTGCAGTATAGCACCGATGAAACAGACAACATTCCTCTGGTTCTTTGAGGCTTCCTCACCCCCCACTATCATGATCTCAGTCCTGCCTTTCAGTTCTCGCTAGACCGAAGCATGTACACTAGTACTGATTAAGTGCTCACAACACACGGAGAGGTCAGAAAAACCACTCAGGAACAGAAATGGGAGTAGCAACACCAGGAAGGTAGGGGAGAGGTGGGGGAAGGAGGGGAGGAAAGGGGAACTAATTGCAATGATTGACACATAAATCCTGCCCCACACACACACACACACACCAGGGAGACAAACAACAGAAATGTGGGTGAAAGGAGAAAGCGGCTGGTGTAAGATATGAAAATAATAATAATGTACCAAGGGGTAACGAGGGTAGGTGGGGGGAGGCATAGAAAGAAGAGGAGCTAATACCAAGGGCTCAAATAGAAAGTAAATGTTTAGAAAATGATGATGGCAACCTATGTACAAATGTGCTTGACACAATTGATGTATGGAATGTTATTAAGAGTCTGTAATAAAATGATTTTTTTAAATTGGGCTCTCTCATTATTGCTAGAGCAATTATCTTATGGTATTTTAAAAAATGCTAAACAAGTCAATGACTATCTCTAATGAAACCTTCATCAGATACACGTGAACTTCCAGAGAATCTTGGTATTTATTTTTATGGCATTTGTGACATTTCCTCACCTTTTTTCGATGGCTTCGGTGGTACAACTGGGCCGGGTTCTATGTTGTCATAAAAATTATTCATGGCTTTTGGATCAAAGTTCCCTATGGAAAAAATTAACACCAGGCTTTAGGATTCTTTTTCTGGCTATTTCATTTTCCAAGAAACTATGGAAATTAAACATAAGGGAAATTTTTTGCCATGGTTTCAATACTCATTTTATTCTCCCATCCTCCTCCCACTAAAAATATGGGTACTTCCTCACTGTGACCAAAGACCCATGAAAAAACGACCATACCAGTATTGGCCTATAATTTATCTATCACCTGAAGGAATAGTTCTCTAACTTTAAGGCTAATCTCCATAGACAAGAGTAAGCATGTGGGACATTTGGAGAAGTAGTTGAAGAAGAGAAATGAAAATGAACTATTCTCATTGATTGTTCTGATTTTAAGAAGCAAATCATGACCTTCATAATTTACCTTTAAACTTTATAAATTGAACTATGGAGGATTATAAAGATGATAATCAAATTATATTTTGAGATCTCTAAGCAACTTTTCTAGATGTGAAACATCAGTAGTTCATAGATGCCTAATTTTAAGAAAAGGAGAATCTTAAATGTTGCCTGTTCATTCGCCCATGACAAAGGATGGTAAAAAGGATGGATGGTACCAATTTCAGAAAAATCATGATAGAACACTCCCTAAAAACTATCTTTTTACAAAAATTTTCTCTCTGGAAATGTTTAATTCCTGGTGTGTTTCAACCACATCTCTTGCCATGACTGTCATTCTGATCCAAGTTTGGCTTTGGGTTCTACCTTCATTTCTTCAATGAAGAAATTCTACCACTCTCATTTGAGTGGTATGAATAATTCAAGCCAACATTTTAATGGTACCTATGCTTATTTACAAAGGATGCTGTATGGTATTGATAGTTCAACTATATTGAATCTTTTTATTTGTTGACCTAATTTTCTTCTGACAAAAGTTTGTCTCACCAAAATCAATAATAAAACTCCTTTTTATCAAATCATGCACTGGAATTTCAGCTACTTGTGTCTAACATAACATCTAAATTCCATCTCTAGTTTAAAAGTTACAGATTGGAAACTTTCTGGAGAGTAGAAGGACATAGCTGATTTATTTGGATCCCTTATGAAAAGAATATTTAGAAATGCTGAATTACTAAGAGGTGCTCTGACAAATGCAGAGCAAAAACACAGCTGTTAGGTTATAAAACCTTAAAAATGGTTTCCCTTGCACGCACTATTTCAAATATTAGATCCATTGGGATATGCTATCTTAAGGCAAGTTTCTGATAGCAAGTCCCATGACAGCTCATGAAAGTCACAATGCTATTTGATCTATTCAATGGATCTTTTCTCACTTTAAAATGATGCACATATATTTTCTTCAATTATTTAAGTTATAGTTGATAGTCTGATTTCTAGATTTCACAAGGCTTGATATACATAGTCTAACCAATTGCTTGATTTAGTGTTGTCTGTTTTGCTTCAAAGAACACACACAAAAAGAATGTACTGGTCTAAAGCATAAGAGCAATAGTCTGTGTAACCCCTCCCCTGCCTACATCATTCATATGAATTCTTTCAATGCTTATAGCTAATAGGCCGTATGATGATAAGGCTTCTGAAGAAACTTATCTGAGCACATTTAAAAGAAGATGGCTCAACTGCTACATTCAATGTTGCTTTCTGTCTACTGTTCAGATAGGTTCTTATCTCTTTGGATCACTTGCTTCCACCACTGTTTAATATTGCCTCAAAATGGCAATGGGGGGGGGTTTATTGTCAACTCTGAAAATGCAGTAGAAGCTCTCTTAGCTGCCACAATTAAGAACAGTAATTGGCAGGTAGAAGAAAAATAAAGGCTGTTCATAACACAAAACTGTTCAGAAAAATGACACACGCGGCCTTTAATGTAATAAGACACACAGAACAGTATTTTTATGCTGGACTAAGATCTTAATGGCTTAAGTTCTGCATAATCTCTCTTACATAAACCTAAACCATGATGACCTAAAGCAGGGGTCCACAAACTTTTCTGTAAAGTGCTGGACACGTTTAGGATTTGTCTGCCTTTAACACCATTATTGTTGTTAACTATCCAACTCTGTTGTAGCACAGAGCAGCCACTAGCAATATGCAAATCAATGAGCATGGTTGTGTTCCAGTAAAACTTTATTTACAACAATAGGCCACTGAGTTCTAGGTTACTGACCCCTGATCCATAGCTTCCTGTTTAAATTTCTTTAGAATGAAGTAAGAAAGAAACTGCACGCACTGATAAAGCAATTTGAAAATAGAATCCTTTTAGTTTTTTATGATTTTTCTCCTTTCTCTTCTCAGTTCTTTCCACCCAATTTCTAACACACTATATATTTTTTTCTGTGATTTGTCTCTAGAAAGCACTCACCTTTAGGTTTTTCATACAAAGAGAAGCTGCTTCTGCATTCATGTTGGTTTGTGAAATTGTTCATTCAATTATTCATTTATAGTAACCAGCATCAACAAGTTTGGAAAGACAAGCAACTGACTCTCGGTAAGCAAAAAATTCAACTGACGGGAACATTAGTATGTGAACATGCCAGAGTGTTGTAGCTTCTTAGCCATGAATACGCAGGCAGTTGTGAACATCAGTTAGCTAATTTTACAGAGGAGATCAAGAACATCACTTAATCTGGTGAGGTGAGTAAGTGACAGTCAATTAAGAGAGCTTCTACTGCAGTGTGCTTCTATAAGAAATCCAAAACCGTAAAATTACAAGGTACAGTCGGATGCTTTCATGTAACAGATACACTGGTATGTAAAAAATGGCAAACAGAATTTATTTTAAAAGGGAGACATTTGAAACTTTGATTTGAGATCCCTATTTTTACAGATATTTCCAATTGCTATCACATAGCATGAGATCTACTAAGCTGTAGAATTAAAATGCATCAACTTGTAAAATACAGTAAATGACTAAAAGGATACATGCAGAGTGATAACACAGAATTGCATAAATGATAAGAACTTAAGGATGAAACTGCCAAAGTAGAACTCATTTCTAACCCCTCCCCCAAAATCTGATTGCTGACCAGCGATGGGGGGCAGGGGCCGAGCACACATGTATGCGAGAGAGGAATTGTAATCTTATAATGGATAATAACCAAAATCAATGCTATTTAAGCAGTATATACATCACACTATTACTTATGGTTTACCAAATAATCAAGTCTATACCTCTAGATTGAAGGAGATCAACTTCTTTCAGTGTACAGTCAACATTTATCTGGAGTTGTCTGTTCATGCTTCTCAATCTTGTCATTTCCTCAGGCTAGTAAGAAAGGACCCAAAATAGCAATTGTGGGAAAGTCATTATCAAGCCCAACATTTTAAGAACCGTGTTTCATATTAATTGTTCTGATTGGGAATTACAAAGAATGCGGCCTCAAACCATAAGAAAGGGCATGTTTACCAAATCCTATATGCATGTTTTTTTAAAGGAATAGTCAAGTAAAATGAGGGCATCAAAATGGCCAGAGATATATAAGAAAATCAGCATTTGGAGAGGTGGCAAAACTAGACTGTGTTCCCTTATACATAGTCCCAGTATATTCCAATCACACAGCTCTGAGAATCTTTTCTACTTTCATAGTAAAGGAAACTGTAAAATTTAAGTGTTTAAGTAAATAATACCTATGATTTTACTCTTATCTAAACTTAGTAACTGTCAATGGTCATTTTAATGAACACTTACTAAGTATCCAGTACTGAGCTTCCCAGTTTTCTCTCATCCTTTCCACCTAACAATCCTTCGAGGTAGGGACTAATATCTCCCCCAAATTACAGCTGAGGCATAGAGAAGTTAAATAATATTCTCAAGTTTATAAAGCTGGCAATAGAAGTAGAATTTTTACATAAATGTTCTATATCTATACATATAGAAAAAAATTTCTTTTCCTGGGGCCAAAGCAATGAATCTAACATATGAAAATTTCTGTAACAAGCAGGCTCCATGCCTTCTCCAGCTTTGTTTTCTTCCGCCTTGATCTTCCTAGCCCAATCCATTACTTAGGTCTTTCAGGGACACAAATGAAGTACTGCAATATGAAGACACACTAACCACCCCAAACGTTCAGTTAAAAGCTTTTTAGAAGCTTTTATTTTCCTTAAGCAGTCTGGAGGGGGGAGGGGAGGAACTAACTCACCTGGCTGCTAACCCTTAAGTTCGAACCCACCAAGCCACTCCATGGGAGAAAGTTGTGGGGACCTGCTTCGATAAGAGTTATTGCCTTAGAAACCCCAGGGGCAGTTCTATTCTGTCCTATATAGTTGCTAGAGTCAGAATGGACTCAATGGCAGTAGGTGGGTTACTTTTCTTGGCAGTCTTAACCTTCTGACTCTTTACCTATTTGTACAATAAAAAATAGTCGTGGTTTAGAAGTAAAAGCATGGATCCCAAAGCTTTCAGCAGAGCCTACTTTCATTAGACTGCCAAGTATTAATGAAATTATCAGGATAATTTCAACTACAAAAAGAGATGTAATAGCTTATATTTTAGGAAGACATAGCAAAATCCTATTATGTTAAAAAAAACATACATTTTGCTAAAAACCAAGTACGTTAATATAACAGTAAAGGAAAACAAACAAAAAGGATTTCTTAAGTCACAATACTCCAACAACTTCTGCTGGTCAGAGGTATTAAGAGAATATTCATGGCCATTTCAAGGAGAAGATATTAAAGGTTTAAAATAAGTGATATGACAGGCAGAATATAATAAAAGCTACAACACACTAGAATTTTAGAACAAAATAGGAATGTTTTGTATGGACCACTTAACTGCTTAGTGTCATCTAACAGCCAACACTAAAATAATTAAAAACATATTACCAAGCAGTTTCATAAAGACATAATTTATTTAGGGGCTCCACAGAGTGATGCTACCTCTGTAGGAACACGTGGAAGAACCCAATCTTTCCTTTGTAGGCTCACAATATGGAAGACAGTACCTGAAGAAGCTGAGGCTTCCAATATAGTTTGGAAGTAAGGGGAGGAGAGAGATTACTTTAGCCACAGTGGTCATAAATAGTAAAAGTTTGGGTCTAAGTATGAACTATTCTAATACATTTTATAGTCAAGAGGCTACTGCACATTTTACTTGTAACTTAAAAAAAAGCAGCAGCTTTATCAACAGTTTCATTTCCAAAGATAATAAAACCACTTGAACTCAGTTGGGTTTGTCTGTAAGATCTGTGTCCTTTTTCCATGGTTTCTGCATTAATTGTGGTGGTGGGGGGCTGTTTCTAAAAAGTAACTACAGCTTATCCAAAGTACGATGTGATTTTCTGGCGAAGGGCTTTCAAGATTCACTGGGGAAATTAAGTAAGGTACCTGACATTTCGAAATGAAAATTTCTTAAGTTTTTTACAATTGGTGGAAGAAATATCGTAGGGATCTTAAAGATGTTGGCTCACAGGCCAATACTGGGTTATTTGATGATGGTTTGGCTACAGTTATGCATCTAGAACTCGTGGCTATGGGGCTGTCCAGAAACTCAGTGGTCAGAATAGAAGGAATAAGGGGTGGTAGTGGCGTAGGGTAAAGGGAACTGGCATCTTTCTACTTATTAAAACCTTATTTTATCCTTCAAGATATAATGAAAATCTCCCCTTCCTCCATAAAATGGTCTTATCCTTGAACCCCACTAACAGGACTCCAACATTGATAACTCTGAACTCTGACGATCTTTAATATTGTTAGCGCTAAGCTGGCCAGCAATTCTGATTGATGTCTTGGATTATTTTTTCTCATACAACAATGAGGGTAAGTTAAAAGGTATTGCTACAAAAATCACAGAAGCCTTTATGAAACAAAAACTATGAAAACGAGGGGCAATTGCTTCTTGACATATCCTCCATTTAGGTCTATACCCTTCTGAAGGTGGTCTTTCTATCTCTCTAGCCCTTCTCCAAAGAATTCTACACTCTTCAACTTACACTTCAGTTTTGGCATCCTTGGCGGACTCCAATTTGTGCGTGTTTTTTAAATGCTCTTTGAGTTTGGGAACAAACAAAGTCTGAAGGGGCAAGATTTGGGCTGTAGGAGGTATACTGTGGAAATTATCACAGGACAGTCGTTGCTACCCTCAGAGAATGAGCAAGTGCATTGTTGCAACAGAAAAGCAAACAAGAAAATTCCTTGGCTCAACTTTCCTAACCTTTTTTTCACTAATGCAATTTTGCATTTTCTTAAGGTTTCACAAGCCCCCATGATCACTCCGTCTTTTGAGAATATCTATAAAGAGGACCCCTGTGGAATCCTCCCCAAACACCATAGCCTTGAATTCACCTTCGAGGTCTTCCTGGCAGCCTTCCTTAAAATGTTTAAAAACTTTTGTGTGGGGCAGCATTCCATTAAACTTGTTGCAATACTTCAATGATTTGGGGAGATGTTTATTTGAGTTTTATTTCAAATCTTTGAAAGCATACTAGGCAAGACTTGTCTGTAGCTATCCAGTGCTCACAGAGACATGTTCAACACATTTTGTTTTGAGGTATGAACTGGAACCTTAGAAGCAATATTTTTTACTCCCCCTCATACACGTACATATAAGATGACATTTCTTACAGCATTTCGTTCTATACTTTGTACATACAATATTGAAAGAAATGATGGTTGTCATGTACCCTGTACTTCTACTTTCCTTAGAAAGATTAATCCACTGCTGTTCTAAGCTTTTGTAAGCACACATTTGCATCTCAGTCTCATTAGGCAAATGCATCTCTAACCTATTTTTTTAAATCATTGGTTGATAACTTGACAGTAGCAACAGGTGCATCCTAGTAAAAATGCTCTACTAGGTTTATTGCTACATACAAGCTATGTGTAGCAATGAGAATGATGATAAAGCTACCCATTTACTGAATACCTATTCTGCATCTGAAACTTTCCGCATACTACCCACTTTAACTTGACAACAATATAATGGACTTGGCACAAATCTTTTTGATAGGGAAATGAAATGCAGAGAAGTGAGATAAAGCAGTTAGTGTCAGATCTATTCTTTCCTCCAAAGCCTATGTGAGTACTCTTTACACTATGTCGCATTGCCTGAAATGGGGCTCTATGAACAAAAGGGGAATTCAGACTGTTGTATTTCTTGATTAATCAAAAGGAAATCAAATTTTCTAAAATACTTCAGGTGTGTGTTGTGTACACTTACTATTTACTGGGCATTGCATATATATATATAGCTAGTATATATATAGCTCTAATCAATTATATAGATAACAATTATATATGGAGATAACTTTTATATATATATAGCTGTAATTAAGATCCCAAGAAATGGACACAGTGCCATCACATTTTATAGATAAGAAAACAAGCTAAGAGAAAGTTATTTACTCAAGGGCATATGAGTGGTATTCACACATGATTCGAAAGCCCACTATCCTATCTACCATCTACGAGTGCACTCCCATCCATGCACTCAAATTTCCTTCTGCTTTCCTCTAGACCTGGCAGTGGAAATGCATGGGGTCAGTTACCCACCCAAATTTCTCATCTCTCAAATATTGTCCCCCACATGAGCTGCCAAGTTCTGAAGCCAAGTGATGGTCACATGGGGGTTTGTTATATCATTCTGTCTCATGTCTATAAATCTTTAAGATTTCTCTGTAAGTAGTTAAAAATAAATTATAGCCCAAGACAGAAGTTTCACCAACTTCCCCTCATTTTCTTTTCTTGTCTAAAGATGTCTCATCAGTAAAAGCTCTCATCTAAAATCTTTTTTGTTTTTAAAATAGTAACCCATGTGACTAACATCTACTTCCAAAATCAACAACAATCAACTGGGTTATAAGTAGCAGTGGTTATGACACAAGGAAGTTAATGATTGTTTTTTAATGACTTCTATGTTCAAAAAAGGTGTTTATATTATGCTAGGACCTAAAAGATCACAAAGTGCTGAACACCACATAGGTGGGTTCCCATCTTTGTTCCATGCTAACATGCCTCTCTCAGAGAATTCAATTCAGATTGGAAATGGAGAAGAAATGACGTGGGAATTTTATGTACATTAAAGTCACCTCTCATTTAAAGATAGCTTTGTCATTTTCCAAGTGTTTTTAAGCAATTGAAACCTCTTCTCTCACTTCCAATACTGTCTACACTTCGAAACCTAGTCAATGTTAGAAAATATTTTAATTATTGAATATGCTTGTTTCTCCAATAGTCTTTTTCAAAAAACATCAACTGGTTGCCCATAACCAGCAGAATAAACTTCAAGGTCTAAGCCCCACTCTCCCTGTGCACATTAACCTTGGTCAAGTCATCAGAAATCTCACACACATTCTATTCACTGCCTCCTGGGAGTCAAGCTCCATGTTAACTGCAAGCCTTTGCTACCTTTCCCTTCTAAAATGCCTTCCCCTTTCTTCTCTGCCTATAGTAATACGAGCTGGAATTTAGGGCAGGGGCTCTTCACCTTTGTCTTCCATCTAATAACCTGGTGAAGACCAGCTGGAAGCTATACGCCTATTTCACACAGAAACACACATATGAAACTGCACATAAGTTCAGGGACTTCACAGATCCCTTTGGAAGCCATGACCCTGTTAAAAACTTCCATATGAGAACCTAGCTGAAGACACTCTGACTGCCAGAGGCCTGGAATACATACCAACTTCTCTAAAATTGTAAACTCTGCGAGCAAGAGAGAGATTGAGAATGAGAACGAGAATGGGAATGAGCTTGAGACTGATTACCCTCAGTTCAGAGATGGTGGGAAAATGAGAAATGACTCCCAGGGCAAAGAAGCGTGTAAGCTGAACCTTGAAGGGCAGATAGGATTTATACGCGTGGAGCTGTAGAAGGCATTTAGCAAGAAGACAATACAAGAGTGAAGAAGTGTCTTGAGTGTACACATACTCAATTGATGTATGCCTTCTCTCGTTAAAGTGAGCATACATAGCACTTATCATGCTGAATTACCTGTTGCTACATCAGTTGCTGTATCTATTCCTCTCACTAGCAAGTGTGTTCTCAGCACCTAGCATAGTACCAGATTCAGAAACTATGCATAAAAATGTCTGTGGAATTAATATATGCTGAAAGATGATATAGGAGGTTCAATCACAGAGAGCTTGTGATCACATAATTGTAGGAGATGTGTTTCAAAATCTTCCAAATTGTTTAAGAACTTTAGAATTCATATATGTATATATAAATAAAACTAGGATGTAAAAAAGACATCATCCTAGTCTTTTCATTGGAGCATTTCCCCTTAGGTCATTCCATCAAAAATGGTTATCCCAGGTTCTATCATTACTTGGATTTTATAAAATTGCTCTGCTTTGAAATAGTCTCTAGTCTACACTTTCCACAAATTCGTATTACTCTCCTCTTAATTCATTTGAATTAACGTACCTAAAAGAATAATGTTTAAATGTTTGAAAATATAATCATACACATATATGTATGATATGTTTAGAGGAATTAATAAAGCACACAGAGAACAATTTATTAAATATTTGGCTAGGGTGTGTTTTTTTTTCTTTCAGACTCCCATTCTGATGGAAAGTAATCTATGGTAAATGAGATGCTAAGCCTTGATTATATTCATCAGTATTTCAGAATACTGATGAACCTCTAGCCTTCATGCACATGAAAAATAAAGTATCAAATTGTTTGGTAAGAGTTATTGAAGGAAAAAGTCCATCCAGTGTTAAAAAAAATTCTTCCAGGGACAAAATGGAAAGGAAAACCAGATGGCCCAGCTAACCAATCTCCTCCACGTTTCTCTCAACACACCCCAGCAGATCACTTACCGTCGGGATAGCAGTGTTGCAACTGACTCTTCTGAGCCGTCTCTGCATCAGGTCATGCTCCATGCTGTTAACTTCAGCCTTCAAGCGCTCTAGCTCCTCTTTCTCAAGTTTCAACTGCTTTGCTAACCTCTCCATCCTTGCTCGCTGATGTAACAGCAAGGCTACAGCATTACAGATAAAGTCATTACAGAGAATAACATTGGACAGGTGAGCTGGAATTTTATAATGTATAAAATACTCATAAGGAACCTCATCATCCAAATTTGGTCAGCATTTACTCTTACATTTTTCTAATGCTATTCCACACCTCACTATTGGCTTTGACTCTTATAACTGCTACCAAAATGACATTACTCATACGTCTTTCGTGTTCAGTAATCCTTAGTTGCCCTAGGATTTAACTCTACTTCTGTGCATTTTAGGCAGGCTCAGCACAAGGCACATTGAATTATAATCTTTATTATTTCAACTTCATAAATATTGAAAGAATACTAAATTCTCCAACATATTAAAATGATCTGAAGACTTAATAAATTACTCTTCTACATATTTAGTTAGGCCTACTATTAACTAATCTAAAAGCATTTGTCCTTATTAATACCATTTCTTATAAACATATACTTATAGATAGCCTTATGCCCTTCAGGTCATCAATTTTTTAAAACACAAAATCTTTCACCTTGATGAACTTGAAGCCATTCTATGAATCTATTTTCCTACATTTTATTTGTCTCTCATTGATATTCTTCCAGAGAAAAAGAAAACAAATACCTCTTATTATGCCATTTTTCTATCTACAATTTCCTATTTTAGAACAAAGTCTATATATGACTCTGAAGCATGAAGTTTATTCTTAATAGCAACACAACTTCCGACATTTTGAAAGTACTGAACATCCAATGAAAACTAAACTGCTAATCTATTTTGTTTTGAATAGGCAAATACAACCTCACCCCAAAGACTACATTGCATAAAAGGCTAACATTTACCTTGTGTGTAGGCATAGTCATCTGATCCAGAACTAGAGCTCCTCTGATATTTATGGCTTCCCTTTTCTCCCCCCGAGCCTGGCATCACTGAAATAGGCTGAATTGGTTCTGGTGCTGCAGAGCGCTCTTCTTGGTCCACTAAGTTTAAAAGATTTTCAGTCGTTGCTCGGCCTACAGTAATTTTAAATACTGTAGTTGGGTTGGGTATCGCCCGAGATGGTGATGGAGCACATGGAGGTCCAGTTGGCTGTGTGTATGTAATATACACAGGATTAACACTAAATGGAGGCTTGGGTTGGCTAGAAATCCCTCGTGAAGGAGAACCGGATGGTGGCGTGGTAGCAGTATACAGGGAGTGCTGGTTCCGAGGAGATGGTTGGTTACTGATGGGTGAAGGACTCCGGTTAAGTGCTGTTCCAGGTCTCTGAGAGGGCTCAACTGTAATTTCTATTTTCTTCATGGAACCTTTGGGTAAGCTAGATGCTGTGTAAGGGAGATAGGCTACTGAATGGCTTCCCTGTTTCTGATAGCTAGGAGGTCCTTGTTGATATGGATGGGGTGGAGTAGTTGAAGGACTAGGTGGCATAAAGACATGGGAACTTGGGTGGCCCAACTGAGTAGGTTGCACTTGATGCTGTGGAGAGCTGAAGGGGGAGGGACATTGAGAAGGTGGTGGTGAATGATAAGTAGGTTGAGGGATCTGTTGTTGTTTGGGAGAATACTGAGAAGGTTGATAGTTCTGTTGATGTGGATACACAGGTAAAGGACGTTGACTGTAATGAGGCACTGGGCCCTGTGGTGAGGACTGCCATGGCGTACTCTGAGGAGTTTGTCTTCCTGATGAAGTTTGAGATGTCTGTCTAATATAAATAGAACCAGGAGACCCATAGAGATTGCTTGGAATTTGTGGAAGAATTTGTAAAGCTCTTGGTACAGTCTGTCCAGAAGGGAGGTTTTGGGATACTGTAACAGTAATTGGGTTTGTACTATACCGAGGTAAGTGCATGTATGAAGGAGGTGGCGGTGGTGGTGAAGGCCCTTGCATAGCAGATGGATTCATTCCTGTTTGAATGGAAGATGGTTGCTGAGGTTGTGAAGGAGTAGCTGCACTTCTGTTCTGTTCATTCATAAAAAATGGATTGTAGTTGGGAGTAGCAGCCACAACGGCTGGAGCTGAGTGTGGTTCCTGAACTAAACATATCAGCTGTTTACCTGCTGCATGCTGTGGATCGATATGTCCATCACTTGAGCTATGCACCAGTGTTCGACCGCCATTAAGTTGAGCTCCATCTCCTGGGTGGTAGCTACCAGAAGAATGGATACCCAGGTTAATATGTAAAAGGCGATTTCTATTCATCCTGTTGTCATCTGGACTGTGGTATTCCATATACAAGTATTTGCTACTCTCCTGGGAAAGGGCTCGGCAACAGGCTTCAAGATTGTTGTTATTCTGGGGAAGAAAAATGGTAAAAATGAAGTATCTCAACAGTAGAAATCAGGCTTTGCCAGATCACTACAGAAATACAATCGGCATAAAGTGCAAAATGGTATCTGAATCACCAAATCTCATGAATCACCAATCTCCATGGTCATCTCTACTGAAAAGGTAATCACAAATGATTCCTGGTATTTTATAAACATTTAACTGACAGTACTAGTACTACCACTACTGCTGCAGAAATGTAAAGTACTTATTAATGAACACTGTGACTCAACCTCAAGTTTTCTAACTCAAAATATAGAAGTAATTTTATACTTGCTGCATCTCAACAAATTAAAATGTTGGACTATTCTTGGATTCACCACAATTGCTGCAATATGCAGGTAATATTTCAAATGAAAAACATGAAAATAACCATGCTTTAGAAAGTACTGAAATAAAAGTAGAAATTATAATGAATTTCAAGAATCGAAATAATAAATGTTCTAAAGCAACCTTCACTTTTATTTTAATTAAACGTATCCTTATATATTTCAATTGTCTGAATTATGATGAAAGATTTAAAGTACAGTAAAAAACACAAAGGGAAAAAAACAAACCCTACATTTTGAACTATGGCCCCATAACTTAAAGTTAAGGTACAAAAACCTGGTCTCTATCAACTTAAAGAGATTCATTCATGCCTCCACAATTGCAAAAGTTTTTGCCCACTGAAAAGGTGGTTTGGAATACTCACAAAATCACATTTAATGACTTCAAATTTTACACACACACACAGATGTTAATAGAAAATCGACATTTTAGAAGTTCTAACACAGAACTCAAAACAAGGAGCAACGAGTTCCCTCGTTTAAAAATGTAAGTAAAGTTCTCCATAAAAATACAGAATTCAGAGTGATTTATTAGCTTCAAACATGCATCACTCATTGCCTTTGAAATAATCGCTTTTACAAAATGAATTCTCAGTTTTGTCAATATTCCATAAATAATTTACAGACTTTTCCTTATACTAAAATTTTGGTACTGTAATTTAAATACATGCTAAAGTGTTTTTTGAGCTATAGAAAAAAGTGTATGTTGAATTTAAGAAGAAAATAATCACAACACAAAGAGTTGCCTTTTTCTTATCCTACTTGAAAATCATGCTGTAAAAGGGAGATATGCTAGATATTACAAAGCAAATCTGCAGCCAAAGAATTCAAATTGATTGCCAACTGGAAAATGTTTAAAAGAAAAATGTGTGAAAAGTGAAAACAAAGTGTCTTCAAGTTTTTTCTGAGCCTATGGGTCAGCTAAGAACCAAAGCTAGTGTTCCATTTGAAACCTGAAACAACCACACATACTTTACTATTTGAGGTTTTCATTAATAATTGAGGAATGAAAGTCCAGGGAGAAGTCTTTAAGCTTGTATAATAAAATGCAAACTACCAAATTTCAAATATTTTAATGCAAAAGACGACACTTCTTAGAAAGTAGGTGGTAGTTTCCACATCCATACATGCTATTAACCCCAAAGGGGGAAAACTGTGAAAAGCTTAGGACAATGTGTTGCGGATAATGCGTTATTATAAGGTATTTAATAAGTTGAAAGTAAAGTTCCATGCCTTCAGGCTTGCTAAGTGAAATAAAAGCACTGGGACAAATAAAGAGCTAATTAAGGGATCTCGCCGGGTTAGCCATGGCAGAGGAAGTGAAACTGGAACAGGCCTGAATTTTTAAATCTGGGTGAACCAGAATGGGAAATATGCCTTAAACTTAACCTCCCTCTTAGAAAAGAAGGGCAACAAAGGTGATGAACAGTAACCAAATCTTTCGCTCGGTGGATTTTGAGCAGAGTTCGAAACAGAGGTGCCTGATCAAAGCCGAGCATGTGGTACGCTCCATCATCTTGCCAATAATCCAAATTCCAGCAGAAGGCTTCCATTCCAGGGTTCCAACCCATACATTTTGCCATTCTGATTATCATTCCAGACTATCTAAATTTTAAAAATTCAAGTGTGTTCCAGTTTTGCTTTGTGGACATGGCGGAATTGGTTCAAGCTGGTTCAAAGCCCTGGTTTGAACATCAGCACAGACTGTGAGGATAAAACAGTGGGCAAGGTAGAAATGCTGCTCCCCAAAGTCAAGCAAATAGGGAAATGCCATAATCCAAAGTGAACGACCTTTGCTCTATGTCTTTGTTAACCCTTCAGTGGAAAGATATAGTCTATCAAGGACGTGAACTATTTATTCTAAAAGAAGAAACGAGATACGGACATGTAATTAAATGAAAGCAAGTAGGCTTAAACTTAGAATTAGATATTAGTAAGCATTTGAAAATGAAAAATCCAGTAAGAAAGAATGTGGAAAATCTACAGATTTTTTTTTTTTAAATTGGCTCAAAAGTGTGTGTTGTTGCTACTGTTGGCAGCCATTGGGTCAGTTCTAACTCCTAGTGACCTTATAAATAATAGACCCAAATGCTGCCCGTTCCTGGGCCATCCTCACAATTTTCGCTATGATGGAGCCCTCAGATAATATGAAATGTTGGCTATTCACCTGTAAGGATTTGAGAGCTGATGACACAATACCAAAAAATTTTAAACATCAATACTACGGAGAATTTTGTCCCCTTTCACCACATGCCTTCACTTTTCTCTATGTTAGTGATGCTCCATGGGGAGATATTTTGCAGGACATTTTGCAGTATCTAGAGATGTTTTTCGCTGTCACAACTCACAGGGGAACAGGAGGTTACTATTGGCATCTAGTGGGTAGAAGCCAGAGATGCTGCTAAACAATGCACAGGTTAGCCCGAAAGTAAAGAATTACCAATCCCAAATACCTTAAGAAACTTTGCTTTCAATGGTGACCCCCCCACCCCCCACCCAGCACGAAGTTCTAGTTACCATAACACAAATTACTTCTGATAAGTAAAAACATAACTGAATTTCACTATCACTGGTTATCTACCTGTAACATGCATCGAGACACCACATTCTCTGGAATCTCAGGGAAACGCTGTCGGAGATCATGGAGAACCTGAATATCCAGTTGCGGATTGCTTTGCGCCATGCCAGAGCAAATGGTGGTCAAGATTCTTGTAAGGAATGGATGTCAACCGGCTTTCCAATAGCAATAATCTTCCAACACTGCAGTCATTTTCTATGAAAAGAAATTGAAATGCTGTTACATTTAATTATTTATTTCAAATTATTACCATCAACTATAATAAATATATCTAAAATTAGTATACTTAATTCCAAAATTAGAAAACTGACAATTTCAAATAAGTCAGATTTTTCTGATATACGAGGAGGTACCTCCCAAAAAACAGGAAAAAAAGCTCCACCCAGCAGAGCTTTCAGGGTATGTATTTTTTCCACTAGGTGAACATCAAGCAACTTGCTCTGAGTTAGTGTACCCAGTGGTGTTGCCTGGGAAGGTTCACTCTGGTCACAGTGAATTTTTTGGTAAAAGCACTTTCACTTAAAACTCATTTTTTGTGATGGCTGATTTAAGAGAACAGCGTGCAGCTGTGAAATTTTGTTTCCTGCTTGGGGAAAAATGCTGCAGAAACTGTTGCGATGTTGAACACAGCTTACAAGGCCAGCAGTATGGGGAACAACTCAAGTGTACGAGCAGTTTCCTTGTTTCAAAAAAGGTAAAATGTCAATTGATGACACCTTGCTCTGGACGTCTGCCAACTTCCCAAAAGGACGAAAATGTTGACCAGTAGTACATTTAGGGTTCGTTCCACCAGGTCAGATTGTTAATCAAGTTTTCTATTTAGAGATTCTGAAAAGATTGCATAACAGTGGCAGATGGGGGACTGGTTTTACCACCATGACCATGCACCTGCTCACGCAGTCATCTCAGGGGGCCAGTTTTTGGCAAAAAAAACACCAGCATGCCTCGTGCCCTTGTGCCCCACACACCTTACTCACCTGACCTCGCTCTGTGCAACTTCTGTTTCTGAGAATGAAGAGGGACATGAAAGGACAGCAGTTGTATGTAGAAGAGGTGAAGAAAAAAAAAATCGAGGGAGGTGCTGTCAGTCATCCAAACAAATGAGTTTGAAAAATGTTTCCAGGAATGGAATTGCAGATTTGACAACTGCATTAAGTGTAATGGACAGTACTTTGAAAGTAATAATGTTGTATTGTTAAAAAATATATAAATACATACTTTTTTGGAGGGGGATTCTGCTTTTTGAGTGGGGGTACCCCTTGTAATGTATATAGCCAATAAGTGGCTCAAAAAAAAGTTTAAAAAAAGTAGTAGTGTTTGAAAGTTATATTTGTATGGCTTTGAGAAATCCCACTTATGTACATATAATCACACCTGTTTTCTCAAGGGGTGTCACATCACTGCTTTAAAGCAGAGTACTCATTTTGATGTTGGAAATAATAAAACTCTCATGACCTAAGGACGCAACAATAATGCCACAAAGCACTTTTCCCATTCCCCTTGCACCCTCCCTCTATTATAAGAACAAAAGGTTTGAGTGCGATATTCTCGGGAAAGAAAGTCCGACGTCTAAACTAAATAGCTGGACAACAAAATGGAAAGACACAATCCTTTGTCTGCAGCAATGATGGTACTGGCTCACCATCAGTAACACCTGCTTAGTTAGGCGCTCACCTAATTCTGCTGTCAGTGGCACAGGCTGAGATGGCAGAATACAGTCTGTGTAAAGGAACCTGACCTTCAATCTCACCAGCACTAGTTTCAAATTAGCCACCAATATAAATAAGGCAATCATCATAAAACAACTGGTAGTATATCAAGGGTTAATTAACCAGCCTACTTCTTAATCTATGTTTCCAATTTTAAAAGGGGAAAATGTGCTGTTGTATACCATAGACCAGGCATCCTCAAACTACGGCCTGTGGGCCACATGTGACCCGTTGGGTGTTTTTGCCCCGTTTGTTTTTTTACTTCAAAATAAGATATGTGCAGTGTGCATAGGAATTTGTTCATAGTTTTTTTTAAACTATAGTCCAGTCCTCCAATGGGTCTGAGAGACAGTGAACTGCCCACCTGTTTTAAAAGTTTGAGGACCCCTACCATAGACCTCTCATGTTTCTTTTGTGTTCACCTACTAAATAATCATATATTTTAAATTTGGAGAGAAGAATCAAGTAACTGTGGCTTCATTGAATGCATGGAAATCATAACGTAAGGGCAACTCATCTCACACCAAATTTATTTCTTACCAATAGACCTCAATCATCCTGGAGGAGCACAAGAGACCCTCAGAGAATATTTGAACACTTTTTTTAATGTTTAAGAAAAATAGATTGATTTTTGCTGGTTTATAATTAAATAATATATATAATCACAAACTTCACTTTTCATGCTCAGCAGGGGGATTTTATCTGTTGCCTTTTACTGGGTGCCTAGTTCTTTCTCTTCTCTAAGCCAAGATTTTCAAAGGGTTACAAACAGTCCTTGTGTCTAAAGGATTGCCACGAAGCTCCGATGCATTCTACTTTGCTTCCCCAAACCACCAAACTCACTGCCATTGATACCATTCTGACTCACAGTCACCCTATGAGACATAGTGGAACTGCCCAGTGAGTTTCTGAGGGTGTAAATCTTTACAAAATAAGTGTCATCTTTCTCCCTCAATGGCAGTGAGTGTGGTATTTTTGGTAATGGCTTCTATCAACAGGGAAGATGTCTAAAGAACATGATGAAAAATTAAAATATGGGGAGACACAGATCATTTGATTTGCATGCATATAGGCTTTCTGGCCACCCTGGAATACTCTGCTCCTGCAAACCACTCCTTGGTCTGCTCTAATCTGGCTCATGACACTACTCCACTGAAACAGTCTGCAACATCTCTCTGGTCCTAACTACCAAGGATATCTTCTGTCGCCTTGGAGCTCTACAACATCTATGCTACTTATCACTCCTTCCTGTTGTGGGAAATGCTAATTCTGTTCCAGCCTCTGCAACATCATGCTAAAGCAGCTTTCGGCCTCCCTCTCTTTTCACTTATAATGCTGGCATTTCCCTAGGTTTAGCCCTAGGCTGCTGCTTCCTCTTCTCATTCTACACCCTCTAGTCTTCTGGTTACATCCACTACTAAAGCTTCAATAACATTTAAAGACCAAAGGTTCCTCAATTTGAAAGCATCATGCTTTCTTTGAGTCTAGACACATATAGTCAACAGTCTACTACAGGGCACCATCTGGATAAAGCCAAAGGTATCAATCAGTCAACATGCCCAAAAAAGGAACTCCAAATCCCAAACCTTTGGTGTGATAGGTAGGTTTATTATGCCAACCTGGCCAATAGGTACATGTGGGATTAATAGGTTGCAGTTTGATTGGAGGACAAAGAAATAAATGACTCTGCAAGGTTCGAGCCCTTCTCTCTTGCTCTCTGATGATTGGAGCATTCTGGAGCATGTGTGCTGCTGCTGGAGCTAGTTCTCTGCCTCAACCTGTGAGCTATACTACCTGCGAGTCAGGCCAATCTGAAGATCGTGTCGTGTCATAGAGCTTAAGGCTCCTTCCAGACCTGCTTCACCATGCCGCTGGTGCATACATCGCTTGAGCGCAAGGCTGGCGGTTGCCTTGCGTTTGATATCCCATTCGGGCCTGCGTCACTAAGCTCTGGGGCTACTGACTTTGGTAACCCACCTTGCTGCTTGCTGCCTGTAGACAGTCTGCTTGCCTTGCGCCAGGTAGGACTCTGCTGCTTCTTTGACCTTGGACTTGGCAGCCCTCATGAGTTGAAGGACTTCCAGTGTATTAACTATTCCACAGAAGTGAGTTGAACGGAACCCTTTGTATTTCTGTGTGGACTAATTAGCTGTTATGTTCCTTCTCGCTGTACACACACACACACACACACACACACACACACACACACACAAATCCTAAGTGTCCTGGTTCCATTTCTCTAGAGAACCCTGCCTAACACAATTGGTATCAGGAGTGGTTCTAGAGAAACAAGATCATAAATGAGCTTCTCAAATGGATTCTCCAGCCTGATTAGGCCTAACAACACTGAGAATGCTCCCTCTACCCCTAAAAGCATGGATAAATCTGACACTATTACTAGAGAGGGTGGTAATAATCCATGGTGTGAAGTTGCAACACTAATATCCACAATATCACCACCAATAGATGAAGTGCTGGTGAGAGAAGAGGCTCTCGGTGATCCTGTGTTGGATATTTTCCAGCAGTTTTGTCAGGATGAGATGTATAGGGACGCTGGTTGGCTGGTCCTCCTTACAATACAAAATGTGATCAAGGAAAGGGATAATCTCACAACCTCAGAAGCATTTCTCAAATGCTGAATAACAGACCTAAAAGCTTCGGCATGTGCTACAAAGGAGAGTCTCCTCTCCTCTTGGAATAGAGTTGACACTGCCAAAACCAAATCCAGTCTCATCATACGAGTAGTTGAATTACAGTGTCGGCAGAATTGCAGGTCTAGAACAGTGTCTGATATTAAAGTAAGGACATTATTCTGAAAGAATTTGGACCCTGAAACATGGGATGGGAACATATAGGCTGATGATCCAGAAGAGGAAGATATTGAGCATATGGACTAGAGTCCAGTGAGCCAGTGTTCAAGGTGAAATACCAGGTGGGGTTGCTGACTTGCGATAACCTGTTAACTTCCCCAATCGGCCCTCAGAAGTATGAGTATTGCCTGTGAGTTCATGGGGCTATTGCAATGTGGGTTTGAATCTGCCTGAGAAACAGAAGGCGAGTGAGTGCCATGGGAAGGGCAGCTGGTGCCAGAATTGGCAAAGGAAATTGGAGGTTAGAGGCATGTCTGACCTCCGCCTTGTAGGAACTGGCTTTGGGCTGATAAATTTGATTCTCCTTCCCTGTTGTATAGTCAGAGGAGGTTGGACACCACCCTTGTGCTACTCTTCTAAAGATAAAGGCTAGGGAAAAATGTTTCAGATTAAAGGTGACCGGGATATGAGAACTAAATCTAAAATCATCCTAGATTAGAGTGGGGAATCGTTATAAAAAAGAAATTAACAAATTAATTGACAAAATTGAGATGTGGATGGTATCTATAAAGAAGTATTCTATCAATGCTAAATCTATTGCATTTACTCAATTTGCTGAACTAGTAGCTGTACTGTGGTTATATTCCTGTGTTCCAAGAACTACGAAATGAAGCAT